TGATAGTCTGCTCGCCTTGTTTTCCGGTGAGTACGAACAACCCAGTAGACGTGGCAAAGGTGGTAGACCTCCGCGTGTTGTCCATGCGCATGCTGTTCTGGTGTTGCTGTTGCACTTGTAACACAGGCGCTGTCGAGCAGAAGACAGTACAAGAGCTGTTTGCGCTGACACCAAGCACGTGCGCCCGTACTCTGTGGTAAGGAGAAGAAGCCTTGGCCCGTGCCCTGGCAGCTTGCCCAGATGCTGCGATCAAGTGGCTGTCGAAGGCCACGCAGGCAAGATGGGCGGCTATGAGCCACTTGCGGAGCCGCTTATCGACGGGGTGTTTTCATTCGTCGATGGAAAGAACTTACGTATGCAGGAACCATCGTCAACCGATCTGCAGAACGCAATGTACAACGGTAGCTGATGCTGTGTGCTTCTATATCTAACGATGGTCTAGGATGGTTACTCAGCGTGTTCGTCACCGGTGGCCTCTGCTTCGGGCTCGACGGCACATTGGTGTGGGGGAGACACAACTTCCCCGGCTCATGGAGCGATGGTGAAATGAGCCGGAGGTTGCAAGAGATCCTCGCAGACCCGACGAAGATCGGTGTTGGCATGAAGGTTGCGTCCGACTCTGCATTTCCGGTCAGTGGCAGGTGTGCTGGCCGTATTGTGACCCCACTGAAGAAATGGGACCTCGAACGGCATCCTCCAGCGTGCCGACTTGGCCTGAAAGTGATGAGTGACATTACGTCGTTGCGCCAAGCTACGGTATGGGGAATGGGTGCTGTAAGCAAAGTGTACCGTCAACTGCTCCTGCCCCTGCTATATATCCCATCACTCCGTGCTATGCTACTTGATAGTATGTTCAAGTTGTACAAAATCCGTGTCCGCCGTACATGGATAAGCCAGATAAAGAATGTCTTTGGATTGTAAAATAGTACTTTTAACTCCTCGAAAAAGTCCTATACAGGCCTAATTGAACACCTTCAAGGCAAGTACCTTGTAAATTTTTTTTGCAAAATTTAACCCAAATCGGCGATTTCCACTTCGATTTTTTTCTTTGGGACATTAACCAGAAAAAGCAAGGTGAAATAGGTAATTTTGTATGCTGCGCAAGGTGAACCACCTTACGAATTCCATAAATAATTCTGAAATTGTATAGTTTCAATTAAATATA